GACCTAGCACAGATGCAAATATTAGGATTCGCAAAGTTGGAGCAAAATCGGTTTATCTTTTCTCCGTCTGTGCAGTAAATTGTCTTTTTTGATAATTTCGATCTTTTGTGGGGGAAGTACCAGAAGGAATGGCCCGATCTCTACCATCTTTATAACATATCTTGCGTTGATAGAAATACTGATATGCACCAAGTCCGAATGGAATCGGATGTTTATTTTGCGTTTTATAAGCTTCATGGATATTCAAAAGTTTGAACCTTTGTGGGGGAGGTACCAGAAGAAGTGGACCGATACATTCCATCTTCACACCAGACCTTCGATTAATAAAAATAATGTGACATGTGTAATTTGAAGGTAATCGAACTTTTACATCACATTTTATAAGAGTTATAATTATTCAAAATTTTCCCCTTTGTGGGGGAGGTACTTGATGCAGTGCACCGATATTGTCCATTTTCGCACCTAACCTAGAATTGATGCAAATATTAGGATTCGCAAAGTCAGAGCAAAATCAGTTTATCCTTTCTCCGTCTGTGCAGTAAAACATCTTTTTTGATATTTTCGACCTTTTGTGGGGGAGGTACAAGAACGAGTGGTCCTATATTTCCCATCTCCGAACTTAATCTAAGTTTGATAATAGTATTACGATGTACCAAGTTTGTAACAAATCGGATACTCCCTTCGAGAGTTATTGTGAGCACCAACCAGACAAACGGACAGGCGGACGGACGGACATCGACTTCAGATGTCTTGAAACGTATTTGTTCCAGAGAGACCTAGGGTCTAAAACCATTATTTTCATGTGAACTAACAAAAAAAATGTGCATACTTTTGGGCATGCTATTGGAAATTAAGCTTGGGCAATGTTGCATACTTTTAGGCATTCTGTTCGAAAGTGAGCAAAGGAAGTTAATATAAAATTAAAAAAAAAAGATTTATGTTTGATTTTAGTTCGAAATTAAATTTTCTTTTAATAATTTTATTTAAGGGCTTGAATAGATAACTTTGTAAGGGGTGAGTTGTCTCTTTTTATTATGACATTCTCACATTATCGTGGTCGATTGAACAAATTAATTTTACATCTGTGGATGTTTTATGGCGGCTGGGAAAATAATTATCTTGGAATATAAATCTATAATTAACCTCACCTAAAAGTATGCACCAAAATTTTGCCACTCTAAAACTAATGCTCTTGTTTATTTTCGGCTTCTTGTAAAGTTAAGTTAATTTTTAATTTCCCTTTTTGTTTTGGTTGATGTTATTCCTCAATTTGTTTTTGTTTCAAAAGCCAATGGCAAAAATAAATAATGATCAAATGTCGTTACGAAATTTACACAAAAATTATAATTAAATGTCAATTATTTTTTCAAGGAATTTTGGAATGTCACCCCTGGCGATAGGCAATACAAATTAAACTTTGCCATAATTTTCAAACTCCCCACTCCTTAAGAAAAAAAAAAAAAACCGATTCACCTAAGAACTTGGAAACTACGAATCTTTTATTAACTTGCCAACAAAAGGTAGGCAAAAACCTAAAGGGAAATTAGGCAAAGTGTCTGTAGCTAACATCCAACCACTAGGCTTACTGAATAACTTGACTGCCAGCCAGTCAGCCATCTAGTCAATCTAGGGGGCTATGGGGCTTTTTTGTTTTGTTTTTCTTTTCCATAATCCAACAAATCCATCAGAGAAAGGAGAGTGGGCGCCAAACAACAATTGTCGCAATCCATCATCACAAACCAGACAAACTAACTACGACGGCAGGCAACGCCCTTTCAGCCTTGAAGTATGGCACAGATTTTTGTATAATTTCCATTTGGCATCGAATGCCGCCACAGACAGAAACAGAAAAAAAGAGAAAATTAAAAATACATATAATTGGCCATTTAACACACACACTCTGCTTGATTTGCAATACAATAAACTTAACAACAAAAACAAAAACGACAACAACAACAATACCATTCATTTGCCATCCACAATCCAATCCATTTGATTTCAATTCTTGTTGCTCGACTGTTTGTGGCTATTGAACCGCTTATTGTTCTTATTTACCTTTACCTTTATTTCGCCTTTAATGCCAAAAACAAAATGAGGAGCTGGCCAAAAATCGACAAAAAAAAAGAAACCAAATGGTAGGATTTCTCTGGAGCTGTGGTGGTGAGCTCTGTGGTGTACGACTATAGGCAGGCCATGATTTTCAGAGCTATAGCCATGTTGGTACTGCTGCTATTCACTTGAAACCAACCGGCTGGCAAGGACAAACATAAGTATCTCTGTGAGAGCGGGAAAGGTAGAGAGCGGGTAAGTGCGGGATCGACTGTGTGTGTGCGAAATAAAAATACCTTTCCAAAAAAAAAAATATTGTAACCGTTCATTGGAATTCAAACAAACCATTGAAGTCTTATGTTTGAAGTGGTTGGGTTATGGCGCTGAACAAACATTGTTGGCTCAACAGAATTTTTGTATGCTGGCCAAAAGTTGTTGTTGTTTTTTCAGCAATCTCATTCATGCATTCACTCATTCATTCATCCAATAACAATGTTCTCAGGCGAGTGGTTGAGAGATAGAAAAAAAAAATAATCACTTTTTACACCAATTCAGCTGCGAGAGGTTGAAGAGTTTCCATAGAAAAGCCAAACTGAAGATGGCCGATATAGACCCTTATTCAGTAGGGATGAAGTGAAGATGTCCCAATTCAGAAGATTCCATAAGAAGGGGGATTCTAGAAACAATACAGATTTCCCTGGAAATTCGGGAAATAAAACAGCCAGGCTGAATAGAAATTTAAACAAAAGGGAATCTCTATTCTGGCAGGCTGAATAGAAGTTTTCCTAAATGGGGAAAATCTCTATTCAGCCAGGCTAAGTAGGTGTATTCTTAAAGATTTTTTTCCAGCTTGGCTGAATAGAATTTCTCCCAGAAGAAGTTCTCAGCCAGGAAAACTTATATTCAGCCATAGAAGATTTCAGAATAGAAGTTTTCCCACAAGGGAGATCTCTGTGCAGCCAGGCTGAATAGAAGTTTACCTAAAGGAACCTTAACCATTTTTATCCTTCCTACCGCTTTCCTATTTATAGGAGTGCAAATAAAGGGTGAGATGAAAAAATTGCAACCAACTTCCGATTGCTGTCATTTATAAGCCACTCGTCCGACAACTGTTAAAATTATTCCAGTGACAGCTCATTATAATGTTTACAAGCATCCGAAAGCATTTTGCTGAGAAATTTCTAGAAAAAAAGTTCTTCGGGATGGAATTCAAGCGCGATAGTGTGATTTCTTTATATTTGGCTGGAAAACCACAAGTGGCTATCGTTAGAGCACTGCAGCATTAAAATGTGAATAAATCTTTTGTGTCTCGTACCATCGCTCGTTACGTGAGTTACAGGTAGCGTAGTCCGACGTCAAGGAATTGGACGGAAGAAAACAGCAACATCAGCAGAAATGGTTCGGAAAATAAAGAAGCGACTTGATCGAAACCCGCGTCGCAGTGGCCGAAAATGGCTCGTGAGCTGAACATATCACAATATTCCATTCGGCAAATATTGAAAAATGAGCTCGGGGTAAAGCCCTTGAAATTCCAAAAAGTGCAAGAACTTACACCTCAACGGAAAGAAAATAGACTCAAAAGAGCTAAAGTGTAGCTTCGCTTGGCCGAAAATAGGGAACTACCGAATTCGGTTTTCTGCGATGAGAAAACATTCGTTGTCCAGCAGTTTGTAAACAAACAAAATGATCCGCTCGCGTTTACTTACCAAAGAGGTCAGCTGAAAATGTGCACCTTCCGTTGGCCACCAGAACTCAAGCGCCGGCCATGGTGATGGTGTCGGCCGCCATAACAGCCAATGGCCGCTCTCCGCTCGTGTTAATACGTGACATCAGAATAAATGCCGAATATTAATGGGAAAATATCATGGAGGGTGTATTAAATCCTTGGGCATGCAAACATTTTGGCCGCAGACCTTGGACATTTCAACAGAACTCAGCTCCATCGCACTCTGCACGCACCACCCAAGAATGGTTAGAAAATGAGGTTTCTCCCTTCATTTCCAGCGCACTATGGCCACCAAAATGTCCGGATACCAATCCCTTGGACTATTGTGTCTGGAGTATTTTGGTAAGCAAGGTTGGCACTAAAAAATATCAAAGTTTCGATCACCTCAAGCAAGCGCTTCGCCGGGAATGGGCCAAAATATCGCAGAGCAACATTCGGGCAGCGTGTGACGGTTTTACTGGCCGTTTGAAAGCCATAATTCGTGCCAAAGGGGACCAATTCGAACAAATCTAAACTTATTCTAAAATTTGATGCTATTTCCGACATTTTTTGTTTTCAATAAAATTTAAAAACAATTGTAAAAATTATGGCGTTTGACTTTGTTGCAACTTTATTGTCTGCTTTATTTATTTTTTTATTTTATGTTTTGTTTTTGCATTTTCAAAATTATTTTTTAATTAAAAGAAATTTCCATGATTTCTTCCTGCTGCCATACTCAACAACATGTGGCTTTGGGGGTCCTTCTTTAACAAGTTTAACAGCTAAAGAGCATAACTAAGTACAGAGTGCTACAGAGCGTACCGCTCTCTTCTTTAAAAATGCAAAATGTTGTGCACCCCCCACCAAAAAAAAAAAAAAAACATTTGTTTTTGCTGTTCTCTTAAATAAATGATGAGAACAAGAAACACAAACAGAGGTACCACAGCAACAGAGCAATACAAGGCAGGCAGCAGGCAGCCAGACAGGCATGGCATTAGGGGAGGGTAGGCATGGTGGTGAAACACATAAATTTGCAAACATAAAAATTTATTTTCCAATTTTATTTGGATTTGCACAAAAATTCATAATAATTATTGTTATTATTCCCACACATTATTCTATTCTTTAAGTTCCCCAAAAATTTTCCCAAATCTCCCCTAGATCCAAGAGTTACGTTTTTTCGGCTGTCTGCGAGGTTAACACTCCATTTATGTTGTTGCTGTTATTTTTGGGGTTAACAACTTACTTTAAAAGGCTTTTTGTTGTCAGCTTCCATTTTTGTTGTTGGCTTGTTGTCGTCTATGGGTTTTGTTTTTTTTTTTTCTAAAACACTATTTTTTTGCAATTCACACTATTTTCTTGAAATTATCTTCTTTTTTTTTTTTTTGCACTTTTGCTTTTGTTTAGTAAATCACCAAATTCAGAGTAGTTTATTATTTTTTTTTTCTTGCTTTTTCCACTGCACTTAAAGTTCTTTGTTCTGAATTCGACGCTTGTCCCACAATTATTTGCTGGGCGAGAACAACTTAGACGAGCACCGGTTGTACTTTAAATGAGCCTCAGTTTGGCATGTGCTTGCCTATTATACTGTTATAACAGTGCAATTCTCGAATGTGCTGGCTGGCTGGCTCCCCAATGGAGATGAAGAGAGCCGCCGCCATTGTTGATGGAGATGCCATCTCTTTGCATATGACTCTCCTACTCTCCCATGGTTGAGAACAAGAAAACAAACAAAACCAGTAACATCTGGCCGCCTCTTTTGCTTTATGCATTGTGTGCTGTGTTTTCTTTTTTTTTTGTTGGGGGCTGCAGTTGTTTTTGTTGTTACCCCTTGTTTGTTTACAAAATTTGCCCCCTTGTGTGTCAGAGAGAGCAAAAGCAAGGCATTCTCACGCATGTATTACCTACTCCCTCTCGCCGTGTGCCAATGTGTGTCAACTAAGTTTACTTAATAATGAAGTTGGTGGATAGAGCATCGTCATTTGAATGTTCCATCCATTACATGTGAGCAAGTAACGTCATAATAATAATTTTTTGAAGGTGTTGTCCCAGGGTTGCCATCACTAAGATTTAATGCAAAAATGTACATTTAAATTCGTACAATCCCGAGAATGTATTTTTTGTAGAAATTATTTTTTGAATAAGGTTTTCCAACAGAAACTGATACCAGAATATTTTTTTATAGAAAACTTTATAAAGGGCTTAATCTCCCATAGGAAATATTTTTTGGATAACACTTTACTATTGTAAATTATATCCGAACTACTGACATAGCCAGAATAAAGGTGAGAATATGTATAACGCTTTTTTGACTGGCTGAAGTCATCGGCTGGATTCTTCGTAGAGGAACAAGGGAGTTTTAGGTTGACTTAGTTCGATTTTGGGTCCACGCTCCTTTGTTTTTTTTTTAAGCTAGCAGATGACTTAAGTCAGTCAAGAAAGCGTTTTATGTATTCTCACCTTAAGGGCTTACACCCTCTCCGAAATGGTGATTAAACCCTCCGCCATATGGTTAGAGAGGGTATATATCATTAAATACGGCCAAAACGTGCCACATCGAAATAACGGTTTTAGACCCTAGTTCTCTTTGGACAAAATCCATCTCAGGACATTTGGAGTCGATCCGTATGTCTATCTGGCTGGTGCGCACTATAACTTTCGAAGGGAGTATCCGATTTGATCCAAACTTGGTACGTGGAAATATTATTATCAAACTTAGATCGAGTTAGATGGGCAATATCGATCCACTCCTTCTGGTACCTGCCCCACAAAAGGTCGAAATTTTCAGAAAAAATAAGTTTTGCTGCACAGAAAGAGGAAGGATCATCCGATTTTGCTCAGACTTTACAAATCCTAATATTGGCATCACAACTACGTCAGATGCGAAAATGGACAATATCGGTTCAGCCCATCAAGTACCTCTCCCACAAAGGGTCAACATTTTGAAAAACTAAAACTCATATATAGGGTGATATAAAAAAACTGCAACAAAGTCAGACGCCATAATTTTTACATTTTTTTAAATGAAAGCAAAAAATGTCGGAAATAGCATCAAATTTTATAATAATTTTAGATTTGTTCGAATTGGTCACCTTTAGCACGAATTATGGCCTTCAAACGGTCAATGAAACCGTCTGACATTGCCCCAATGTTGCTCTGCGGTATTTTGGCCCATTCGAGGCGAAGCTCTTGCTTGAGGTGATCGAAACTTTGGTATTTTTTAGTGCCAACCATGCTTTCCAAAATATTCCTGACACAATAGCCCAACGGTTTGGTATCCGGAGATTTTGCTGCGGAGAATCTCATTTTAAAACCATTCTTGGATGGCGCGTGCTGTGTACGATGTTGCTGAGTCCTGTTTGAATGTCCAAGGTTTGCGGACCAAAATGTTTGCGGACTTTAATACAGCCTCCAGAATATTTTCGCATTAATATTCCGCAATTTATTCTGATGCCACGGTCGATTAATACGAGCGAAGAGCGATAATGGCGGCCCATACCATCACCATGGCCGGCGCTTGAGTTCTGGTGGCCAACCGAAGGTGCACATTTTCAGCTGACCTCTTTGGCAAGTAAACACGAGCGGATCATTTTGTTTGTTTACAAACTGCTGGGCAACGAATGTTTTCTCATCGGAGAAAACCAAATTCGCCAGTTCACCACTTTCGGCCAAGCGAAGCACCTCTCTAGCTCTTTAGAGTCTATTTTCTTTCTGTTGCGGTGTAAGTTCTTGCCCTTTTTGGAATTTCAGTGGCTTTACCCCGAGCTCATTTTTCAATATTTGCCGAATGAAATATTGTGATATGTTCAGCTCACGAGCCACTTTTCGGCCACTGCGACGCGGGTTTCAATCAAGTCGCTTCTTCACTTTTCAAACCATTTCTGCTGTTTTCTTCCGTCCACTTCCTTGACGTCGGGCTACGCTACCAGTATCACGGTAACGAGCGATGGTACGAGACACAAAAGATTTATTCATATTTAAATGCTGGAGTGCTCTGGTTGTAGTTTTCCAGCCAAATCTAAAGAAATCACGCTATAACGCTTGAATTCCATGACGAATAACTTTCTTTCTGGAAAATTCTCACCAAGATGCTTTCGTACGCTTGTAAACAATTTAATGAGCTGTCACCGCAATAATTTTAACAGCTGTCGGACGAGTGGCTTAGAAATGACAGCAGCCTGAAGTTGGTTGCAGTTTTTTCATCTCACCCTGTATAGTCCAAATATGACACGTTGTAATATTTATATCATTCTTAGGTCAGATACGAAATCGACAATAATCTCCAACTGCTTCAACAATGTGGAAAATCATAACTCAAGACTGGGGGCATGGTAGAAAGAGGTAAAGTCATGGAATCATATGTTTACATTTTTTTTAAATTATTCATTTGACAACATCTCATTGTCAAAATATTTATTTATAAATCCATTGTACACACACAGATCAGAGATGGGAACCTGCCTTCTATACAGTGAAATTTGACAAGGTAAATTACAGAAAATGCAAAGATGGGAATGCTTATTTGGAATGACTTTACCTTCTTAATTTTACCATGACTGGGGGTATACATCTACTGGCAAAACCGACTGATACTATTCAACTTATTTTTTTAGAGAATTTGGCTTGAAAATCCCATTTTTTGTTGGTCACAACAAATACCATTTCTAGCTACGTCGGTGATTCGGTCTATATTTCCCTTTTGAAAATATCATCCAGATAAGGTTTCCTTATGGAATACATTATCTGTGTGTTAATTTTCCATACAGAAAAATATTCGGTAAATTTTTTTCCGTAGACACGGCAACCCTTTTCCAATAATCCCCCCCTATTGGCTGTCCAACCAAAACTGGGTGCATTCATGCATTGAACTTGTGAACTTGTCTAATTGCTGTCAAATGGAATATTCATCAAAAAGAACAACAACAACAAAAATCTACATATTCATTATCCTTTAATGCAAACTGAGAACATTTTAATTTTTGCAATGACATCTGAAAAAAAAATCCCATTCACATCAGCAAAAATTACGAAGGGAAACTATCTATTTGTGCCCGGAAATAATCAAATTGGAATACAATTCCGATTTCCTAATGAATTGCAAACAAAAAGTGACAACAAAAAAATTCAGGAAAAATCAGTCAGGATGAGGTCATTGTAATTTTGAAAGAAAACAATATTTATATTTTTTTATGAGCAATTTTTTTTATTTCACATTTACAAAACTTTTACTCTTATTTCTAGAAGGTCAATAGCTTTTCTGTCTGGGAAAAAACAGATATCCAATTAGCTGATCCCTTTCAGTCGCATGTTTTACCATTCTTCCAAAACCATAACTAAAAATTTATTATTATAGCACGTTTACCCAGAGGTTTTAAATAGCCAATTCCTTTGCATACATGTCAAATAAAAGCTGCAATGTAAACATACTATTAACCAAAAAAGGCCTCAAATATGTCCTTTTTTTTAAAAAATCTTTCCTCTTTCTAGCCGCCTCATACACCCTTGAACAATTATTTCCGTAACATTTCTTTGTGAGGAACACGCAAACTGCCTACCACCGCAAATGATTTCGTATCCCCTTACAAAAATTATGCCTACGAAACGGATAATATAAACACACACACACACATATAAGGAGATAAAAACGATGATAGCATTGATGACGGCGAAGAAGAAGAAGCAGCAGCAAAGAAACTAGGTCAAATTATGATTTGGCTGCAACAAACCTGTGCCATATAATGTTAGACAATAGAACATGACACAATGACACATTTTTCTTTTGTTTGACACAATTTAACTAAATTGTTAATCTCTTTTTCCCCACCTACATTTCCCCTCAAATACCACTCAATCATACATAAATACACATACGTCACTCTCATGAACACACAGCCATGTTCTTTGCCTCTTCTCTTCCATAATGTCGGTGATGAGGACTACAAATAAATCCATGCATCTCGGCTGTGTTGTTTCTGGTGTTGTTGTTTTTGTAATGCCTCTCCAAAATGTAGGTTACGTACCAATAATGTAATTTTCGTTGTTCCATTTTTTGGTCGATATTTTTTTGTCGTTGTTGTTCTTTTATCCTTAGTTTAACTCACACACACACATGCACTCACATAAACGTGCATAGCGTAGCATTCTTTCATGTCATTTGCTGTTGTTGCATTGCTGCACAACACACGATCTCATGACGTCACTCTTCTTTCTTTCTCCGTTGGGTAATGCAGTTAAATGGAGGGACATTCATAAATGCATACTCTCCCCTTAGTGTTGGGTGAGAGCGTGAGAGTATGCTGGGTAAATAAGAGCAAAACATACTGGTGTTAGTTGGTGAGTGATTGATTGATGAGCATGTTAAATGGTTCACACATTGGGGAGTGGGACATAATTATTGTCACAAATATGTTTTCATAATGGAAAAAGTATGATAATATTTTCCCTAGGCGAAATTGTTGGAAAATGTGTCTTAAAGAGAATATTTGTTTTATTTTTTGTTATGCAAAATATTATTGGGATAAAGCATTCTCATGAAAAAACATTATCCGTATAATTTACTTCCAT